TTCTTCACTATCTTCATTATTTTCTTTAGAATTCATATCAGAATAATAAAATAATGTTTAATGTATTTATATTTTTATGGTAATGAAGAAATTAATTGTTCAAGATCTAAATTTTTATCGTAATATTGTCTTATTTCATTCATTGGAATACCCTTTTTTAAACATTCACCAGTAAATAATGACCATTTATTTTTCTTATTAGGTTCATATAGTATTTGGTTAATATTTTTTCATTTTTTATTTTTTTTACAAGAATTTAAATAAATTTTAATTTTGTTAATAATATTTTCAATTTCATCTATATGTTGTTCGATTTCATCAAGTTTTTTAGACATTTTTTTCAATAATAAAAAGAAAAAAATATATAAAATTATATATCTTTTATATTTAAAATAAAATTTTTCAAAATAAAAAATTAAAATTTATTAATAAATTTACAGAAAAAAAATTTTTTTTATCAGAAAAATGTTTAAAAAAATATAAATTTATTATTTATTATTATATAATTTATTTTGAAAAGAAAATTATTATTAGACTAAATTAATCAAAAAAATATATATTTTACGAAAAAGTTATAATAAATAAAGTAAAAATAAATTTATTTTTTAAGTAAATTTTTTATATTTTTTTATAAGTATTTTTTCAAAACATGTTAATATATAAATATATAGTATTTTGAAATGATTTTTGAAATTTCAAAAATAAATTTTTTTTTTCAAAATAAATAAAATTAAATTTATAAAAATTTACGTAAAAATAATAATGAAAATAAAATATATAATTAAAAATTTATAAAAAATTTCAAAATTAATATAATTTTAATAATAAATTTTGGATACAGATAAAATAAATAATTTATTTTAATAAGAAAATAAAAAAATAATGAGAAAAAAAAGATTTTTACGTTAAAAAAATGAAAAAAAATTATAAAAAATTAATAAAATATAAACAAAAAATAAAAATTTATTTTTATTTTTCAAAAATTACAAGAAAATTATAATATTTTAAGAAAAGAATAAAAAAATTATAATTATTTTTTTTTTTAATATTAGGTAAAATATTTAAAAAATTAAAAATTAATCAAAATTATTAGTTTTTTTATATGTTTAACATAAAAATTTAAATAAAAATTAATAAATTTTTATTTTTTTTTTATTAATAAAAATAAATTTTATAAAAAATATATGAAAAAAATAATTTTTTTTTGAAATATCAAGATTTTCTTTTTAAATTTTGTGTTCCAAATTTAATATCAGGATTTTCTTTTAATAATAGTTTAAAATATGAAATTTGTTTTGTTTTATTTAAATCATCTTTTATAGAAACTTGTAAATAATAATTATCATTTCGTTTTAATGCTGTCCATGTATAATGTGAATATTTATTATAGATTTCAATATCAAAAATAAAGTTTATATTTTTCATCTGTGTTTTCATTTCGAAAAATTGATAATTATCTATACTAACATGTCTAATAGGATTTTTATGATGAATTGTAACCCATTCACCATGAATTTTATATTTAGAAAGATCTAAATTTCTAATATATGCCATATAATAGAAGATATAAATAGTTTGAATTTATATTAAAAAAAAAAGAATAAACAAGATGAATTTATATAAATTATCATTTATGATTTTATTATTACAAATTGTTTTTGTTATACTATATCCGAATATATGTATAGCAGTACAAAATCAAGAAGATAAAAATATAAAAGAAAATAAATATCTATCATTTAATCATGATACAACTAAAGGTGTTATAATAGGTTTAGCTGCTTCACTCGTATTGAATTATTTAAATGGAGAAAGGATTTCTATGATAGTAGAAAATATAACCAATTACCTTAAAAATAAAGAAATTATAAATGAAAC